CTTGAATCTTTGGTTTTCTTTATTCTTCTTTGCTCTGGATGAGGAGAGAACCCATCGTTGCATCTAGATGTCCATTTGCAAGTTTTCAAGATCCCAGTCACTACTCACCAAAGTAGGATGTGGAACAATGTTTTTGTGTACCAGGTTATGCCAATTGAGCCTGATGTCCTCTGGGACCATGGTCTTGAGCCCACTGGCCCAACTACTCACTCCTTCTGGGTAGCTAGCTGTGGCCAAGAAGTCACCACAACCTTGTCCTTTGTCAGCTCTAGTATATACATGGACATTCTTATAGCATATACAAATATGCTTGTAGACACATCATTTGCCAATTCTATACATGGTCATGGCCATACTCTCCCCTGTCTAGACATACCTGATCATTCGGCCCATTCACCCATCTACCCACCTGTAGATCAATGTTTGCCATCACTTAGGCACTAGTACTTTTAAGTGCTCTCAAAGTAATTTTAATATGTAGCCTGAAGTATGAACCAATGCCTTAGAGTTCCTTCCCAGATGAGGTAACAAGAAGAGGGCGCAGTTGTTGCTAACCAACTTCTTAGAGCCCAGTCAACAGAGACATGGCCCTGTTGAACAGAGGGGACATTCTTCATGACCACTTGGAGTCACATGGGTACACATAGGAGGTAGTTTCACTGATAACTGGCTTTACCGGCAATAGACATGAAGATTTTTATCAACTTCTGCAGTCTGAAATTGACCAAACGTGCAATCAAGATGTGTTAATTATCACTGGTGACTAGAATGTAAGAGTTGGAAACAAAAAAAGAATCACTTGTAGCTGGAAAATTTGGCCTTGGTGACAGAAATAATGCTACAGATTGCATGATAGAATTTTGCAAGACCAATGGCTTATTCATTGCAAATACCTCTTTTCAACAACACAAACGGTGGCTATACAAGTGGACATCACCAGATGGAGTACACAGGAATCAGATTGACTACATCTGTGGCAAGAGGTGATGGAAAAGCTCAATATTTTCAGCAAAAACAAGGCCAGGAGCTGATTGTGGAACAGACTATCAACTGGCCATATGCAAGTTCAAATTGAAGTTGATGACATTAAAACAAGTCCACAAGAACCAAAATATGACCTTGAATATATACCTCCCGAATTTAGAGACCATTTAAAGAATAGATTTGATGCATTGGACACTAATAACTTAAAACCAAAATTGTAGATGGCATCAAGAATATCATGCATGAAGAAAGCAAGAGGTCATTAAAAAGACAAGAAAAGAAGAAAAGACCAAAACAGACGTCATAAGAGATTCTTAAACTTGCCCTTGAATGGAAAGTAGCTAAAGCAAATGGAAGAAATGACAAGATGAAAGAGCTGAATAGAATATTTCAAAGAGCAGCTCAAGCAGACAAAGCCAATTACTATAATGAAATGTGAAAAGACCTGGAGTTAGAAAACCAAAAGGGAAGATCATGGTTGGCATTTCTTAAGCTACAAGAATGGAGCAAAAAATTTAAGGCTCAAGTTGCAACGTTGAAAGACTCTATGGGCAAAATACTGAATGATGCAGGAAGCACCAAATGAAGATAGAAGGAATACACAGAGGCACTGTACCAAAAAGAACTGGTCAATCTTCATCCATTTCAGGAGATGGAAAATGATCAAGAACTAATGGTATTGAAAGAAGTCGAAGATGCACTGAAGGAATTGGTGAAGAGCAAGGCTCCAGGAATTGATGGAAAACCCATGGA